GTTTCGGGAAGGATCACGTCCATCAGCCTCTGCTTTACCTCACTCCTCTTCCTCTCCTCGCCTCCTTCCTCTGCCCTTTCCCTCTCCTCGTTCCCTCTGGTCTCACATCACCTCTCTAATACCCTTTCTCCTTTCCTTGAAGGAGCCTACTATTTGGTTTACTTGGTTTTCATCTTTGAAAAGAGCAGTGTGCCTTGTTGACTGTTTTTTCTCTTCTCTTTCTTTTTATGTTAAAAAGGCAGTTACACTATACATTTAATTCTGAGAAGAGAAAAGTATAGTGAAATTCTCTTTAACACAAAGCATTTTTTGGGTGTGATTTTCAAAACAGAATCTTTCAAAATTGTCACTGTACTTGAGATGTACCTGGAATCCTCTTTAGGGTAATGACTGTGACATTCCTCAGAGGTGAACTCACTTCCATTAGTTGTTTTAAAAAGACACAGGCTGTCGGTCTTTTCACACTCGTCATGAGACTGAAAATAGAGACTCATCATCACCTATTTAAGGGTTATGAATAGCACTGCCTTGAAAAGGACAGTGGAAATCTGTGTGGAAATTGAAAATGATGTATCAAATTCCGAAGCTAGGTAGGTAGACACAAAAATGAAGTTGGAGGCCAAATTGCCTCAGAGTTCTGAGCACAAGACATGATAAGACCCCCTCCCTGCCATGGTAATGGTCAGATGCCAGGCATCACTTCCAGATGCAGAATGGACGCGGAAGGTAGTTTAGCTCTAAGACTTAGTAGTGTCTCCCAGACAAAAAAGGCTCCGTAGTGCAGAGGCCATCCTAAGCCCAGTGGTAGGCTGGATTATTAACATTCTTCACTCTGTCCTTCGCAGGTGGCTTTGCTATCCCTGCTACTGGGGGCAGAGTGCACTTCTCCATCCCTGGACATGGGTTTGACCCACATCCCGGTGGAGTACCCACAGAAGTGACAGTTGGGTTCCTCCAACCCAAGGCCCTCTGGAAACTCTGTATGCTTCCACTTGTCCTTGCCATTAGAAGGACATGGCATGGGCAGCCCGTGGGTCCAACGAAAGGGTAAGAGAGAAGGAAGAGAGAGAGGACGCAATAATTGAGCTGAGTTTGGATCAGCCAAACCCCAGGTGATCTGAAGATGCTGAGTAAGAGTAAAAGAAAGCTGTTTTGAGCACGCTGGAGTTTTAGAGTAGTTGTGATACGGCGATTTTTTGGAAATCCTTGACTGACACAAAGCACTCTTCCTAAATGTGGCCTGTTAGAAGGAAGAACATGAATAATAATAGTGACTAGAAAATGACAGTGTGGATAGAGAATGGTTTTCTGAGGATGAGGACAGGCCTGTGTGTATGGTTGCAAAAGTGGCTGATGCTGCTCCCCATTTTGAATAAACACCCCTCCACACACACCCTCCCCCCGCCAACTGGGTCTTGGCCAAGGGTGAAGGACACCGCAGAACCCTGCCTTCCCGGTTACACTGGAAACCACTGATATTTCCACGTTCAATGATGACACACACTGGTCTCTTTGGGAAGCAGCAGAGGCTCATTTCAAAGAATATCGGTTAATTAAGTAGGGGAAGATGTTCAAGACCACCTACGCCTGGGAGAAGTTAAATTACTCGCTACTCATAAGGCAGGCCCTTCAATTACCGGTCAAATGCCTCAGTTAAATGGTTATATTCTCCCTGAAATTTGTCTTTTAACTTTACCCCTTGCTCCCAACCCTTCCCTCTAAAGGCACAGAGAGTAAGTCTCTTGACTTTTCCAATATGGTATTTTAAAACACAGTTGCACATCCAAAGTCTTTTCCACACCAAACTCCCAGGGTTTCCTCACAATCTTATTTTGGCACACCACTCACCATTCTGATCACTCTCTTCTAGACACCTGCTTGCTTGTTCATATCCCTCACAGAATGGGAAATGCAGAATCAGAGGCAATCTTTAAGGTGTATGTAAAACACTGCTGTGTAGATGAGGGACTAATTATTTTGTTACCATGACATTATTTTTTAAATTATTTATGCCTATAAAGTGTCAAAAAATTTTTTTGTTACTCTAATTTGGTTTACCCTCTAAATAGCTTTCTCTTCCTTAGGAAAATGACTATTTTCTTGTTTAATAATAATGATAATGATATCAATTCCAATACCCTTCCTCTGCTGAGGTCTATTAGATGCCTGGTACTTCCCTTCTACCAGTTCATTAGTCCACACAAAACCCTGAGGGTGGTATTATCATCTCCGCATAAAATGAGGACACAGGTTAAAAGAAGGCAAGTCACTGGCATGAGGTCACACAGCTGCACGGGGCTCTAATCCAGGCTGTCTGGTTCTACACGCATGGTCTTTCTACCGTCCTCACTCCCTCATCTCATTTCATCTGGGAAGGGAAGGGGCTAATTGTTTCCATGGGAATAGCCAGGAGCAAAACATGGGTCCGCGCTCTCCCCATTCTGTGTACCATATGGAAAGGTACCTCTCTGCCCGCTTCAAAGTAAGATGGCCTCTCACCCTGTGACATCACAAAGCCTTCGGCTGGAATATAACTATCAAATGACTGGCATCAGAGACAGCATGGAAAGGAATCCACAGAGGCCAGTCTTGTGATCTTCAACTAAGGTTTTCTTCTATTGCCATGGTGGACACTGCTGATGCCCTACCCAGATACCCCGTACTGGGTAGGTACAGGCAGAACAATGGCCTCCCAGAGATGTCCATGTCCTAATCCCCAGAACTGGTGAGTAGTTATGTTACGTGGCAAGGGGAACTCAAGGGTGCAAATGGAAGTAAGGCTGCTAATCAGGTGACCTTGAGATGGGAAGGTGATCCTGGTTTACCCAGGTAGGTCCAGTGTAATCTCAAGAATCTTTAGGAAAGGGGGAGAGTCAGGACCAAAGGGATGGTGGTGTGAAAAAGACGTGACCTGCCACTGCCACGCTTCATTGCACTGAAGATAAAAAGGGGTCACAAGCCAAGGTGTGGGCAGCCTCTAGAAGCTGGAAAAGACAAGAACATGGATTCCCCCCTAGAGCCTCCAGAAAGGAATGCAGCTCTGCGGACACCTTGATTTTACCCCAGTGAGACTCATTGTGGACTTCTGATCTCCAGAACTATAAGGTAATAAATCTGTGTGGTTTGAAGCTACCAAGTTTGTGGCAATTCGTTATAGCAGCGAAACCTCACTAATAACACTGGTGGTATGTGTGCTGGCTGCTCGTGGCTCACAGCTGCCCCTTTCTTCCGAAAATTGCCATCGGCAGAACATGAGCCACTTTGCCCAGGGGTTTGAAATGACCTCCATCATGGGAGGAGGAGGGAAGCCCACTGATACCAAAGGCTGGCCTCAAGGAAGGACCAACTGGTGAAATTCATGCTCCAGACTCCCGCAAGATCCACCTAACACCACTTCCTAGTTTAGTTCCTCCCCTTCTCCATCCGCTTCCCTCTCTCCCTCTTGTCCTGAGAGCACCCTCTCAATAAATTACGTGCACTTGAGTCCCCATGTCAGGCTCTGCTTCTAGGGAATCTGACATGAGGCAACTGTCATACCCAGAAGAGGTGCTGGGCCACGGGAAATGGGTACTGAAGGGGGAACGGGGGGCTGGGAAGGGTTTCAGGGTTGAGGAGCTGGAAGGTGAGATGAACGACATATCAGGGCCACACTGGGCCCTGGCTCCCAGCTTGGGAAACAGGCTCTTGATCTTAAAGTGTTCTTCCCTGAAGCCTTCACGGCCAAACCCAGCGCTGCAGCATCCAGGCCATAAGTGAGCAGGAGGTATGGCGTGGGCCTGGCATTGGGACCCCACTTGGGAAGGCCTGTCTCTCACACCTGTTACCCTCTCAGTGGCTGTCCAGGCACTCTAGGCCTTGCTTGGCTTCATATCTGCAGGATCAGCACCGTCTCAGGAGGACAGTCCCCATCTCGGTCAGCCTTGCATCGTTTGATTCCCAGCCTCATTTCCTCTCTTAATTCCAGCCTTCTGCCCTTCAACTTCTCCTAGGGTGGGTACATCCTAACTGCTCCCTGAGAGCACACATGGGCGTCTCCTTCCCCCTCCTCTCTTGTTCTGCAGTGGCCCGTCAATCACCAGGACAGGCTGCTGTTCTTGAAACAACGGGTTTCAATTCACTCTGAGTTCCACCCAAAGTACCTTTATGGTTTCCTCCATCTGTTTGGTCACTGGGTTTCCACCGCGGGACAGGCAGAAGAGCGTTAACTGCGGAATTTCTGTGCGCCTGGCTCTCAATGGCTCAGGTCTTCCTTCTAGCTGGGACATTTTATAGGTCATTCTCTTCATCTGGGCACAACCCGCAAGACGCTCAGGCTATCACCATTTCTCTGAGGTACCAGGAGTGAGTCCTTTCCGGGTCCAGAATTGTAATCACCATTCCAACCGAATCCCCTGTCCTGCCTGGGTCAGTGCCTCCCTGAGGTCTCCTGCCTTCCACAGCTGCCTGTCTCGGTCACTCACCTGGAGCTCAGCAAGCCACAGACCCCCTGCCCAGGCGACCCCAGATAGACACGGCCACGCATACTGGAGAGGACCCTGCAATGGGTCACTCAGATCTCCCTGCAGAACAGAGGCGTTCGAATCCCCCCAACTGCCCAGCACCTTGATTGCCTCACGGATTCCCTCTCCCTTAACTGCCCTTAGCTAAAAAGATTTTGCCCCCTCCCCAGGGGCTGCCCGTACCCGGTGAGAGGTGATGCAGGGGTACAAAGTCCCAGACCTCTGGCCTCAACGCGAGATGACTGTACGGGGCTTGAGAGCTCCCTGGGGATCGGCTGGAAGCTTTCTTCCATCTGTACCACAACCCAGCGTCTCCCTCCACCCAGCCCTGCTTCCCTTACCTGTTGACACACACTGTCACCCCAAACGCTCCCAAACAACCCTCCTGCATATCAGACAGACTCAGAGTCTGTCCACGGGGACCTGGACTCAGGTACACCCCTCTCACCTGGCTTTGCAGGGATGCAAGGACCTGGAAGAGGAGGCAGAGGGACGGCTTACCCACGATCATGTGGTTGCAGACATCACAGAAAGTGGGCTTCTTGAAGATGTGCTCCTGAAAGGCGTGGGCCTTGCCGCCGCCTGGGTACAGGCCGGCCCTGGTGACTGTGGACGTCAGGCATCCGGGGGCAGGGAGCAGGCTGGAGCTGGGGCTGACCTCCGAAAGCATGTCTGCCTGCAGCTTCGCATCGCTGTTGGTTCGCTGGAAGAAGTTGTCAGCACTTTTGCTCCGTAAACTCTTGGTCTTGAAAGAAAGTGATCGTTTTAGTTTCTGGAGCTGCAATGCAATGACAGAACAGACTTACGATCAATCGTGCAGACTCCTGCTGTGGGGCTGAGGCCTGCTCCATGGACTGCTCTGTTCCTACGGACTTCCTCAGCCCCTGGAGAGGCTCACAGATGTCCCTGAGGGGATGGGTGATGTCAGCAGCCCCTATTCCACCGCCTGCCCCTCCTCTCTGCCTCCCTGCCCTCCCACCCATGTGTTGTCAAAATATCCCACTGCTTTGGACACCATTTGCCTTTTGAATTGGAATCGCTGGAAATATTAATTGTATGAACTCCTGGGCTCAAAGGCTGGGTCCCTCAGGCTGGGGTCTCTGCTGGTCTTTCTCTGCTGTGGTCCCTTGGCAGCCATCTGTCTGTTCACATAGCCAAGCCGAGGAGGCCGCTGTCTGATTCGGAATTAATCTGGCTGAAGTATCACAGAACACAAGCCGGAACTTCTCAAGCCTGCTTGGGTCCGAAGCAGTGTGTGTGCGTGCGTATGCGTGTGCGCGTGCGTGTGTTTGAGGAGGGCACGGTGTGAAATTACCCATTTGACTTTCTCTGCTCCTCCCTGTGCCCTGCCTCTCGGTTTTGCTCATGGCAAACTAGACCATTTCTCCTTTGCCTTTGGGACCATGGAGTGGCACCACATGGGGCTGGAGGAATCCTAACTGGGTTTGGTCCAGTCTGCACCTCCAATCTAGTTTTCACATGGCAGCCGGAAGGGTCTTTTGGAAACAAAATGTGAGCCTGTTGTTTAAAATCCTTCACAGAGCTTCCTTTGTTCTTTATAAATTTAAAGAAAAGCTCCTTGCCATGGGCTCCAGGGACTGGTAGATTCTGGATCCCAGTGACAGCTCACACCACCGTCCACCTTGCTCTGCCCATCCCAGCCACAGCGGCCTTTTAAGTCTCTGGCATTTATCATGCTTTTTAATCAGCAGCCCTTAGTGCATAGTTTCCCCTCTCCCCAGATAAAAGAAATGAACCACTTAGCAGCTGCATGACCTGTAGTAGGTCACTTCACCTTTAAGGCAGTTTTCCTTTTGTGATTGAATATCCATGCGTGTTGCCTGGAATTAATGTCTAAGCCCCAAAGCTGTAGACAAAACAAGTGCTCATCACACTATTCTAATAAAGACCTCCATCAAGTGTGGTCAGACACCCCTACTGGACACAGAAGATGTCTTGATCTGGCCTTGCCGAGTCTAGCCACCTAATCTAGCCATCAGCCCCCCAACTTCTCCCACAGAAGATCAGGAAGATGTGGTGGTCTTACTGCTTGGGGTGGATGCCACAGTTCTCTACCCTTCCCCTTCCCATGCCCCTTTACAAGGTGACCTCGCAGCTCCTCCCATCAAAGCTGAGTTCCTCAAATCTTGTTGGTTTGGGGAATTTGACCAACAGCAGGCGGCAGAGCAACTTTAAGCCACTTCCAAGCCCAAATCTCAAGATGCCCTGTATGCTTCTGTCTGCCCTCTTGGAAACCTGCCAAACTGCCATATGCACAAAGCCGATATAGCCTGAAGGACGATGAGAGACACACAGTCCAGAAGCCCCCATCACTCGAGTGACACCCCTGAAGCAGAGCCACCCTGCTCCCTGCAGGGAATCAAGGAGCATAGATGAGACCAGTAGAACTGCCCAGCTGAGTCCTGCTCAAACTGTCAACCCATAGAATCATCAACTAAAAAGATGGCTGGTGTTTTGAACCATTAAGTTGAGTATCTATCGTGTGTACACAGCAATACAGTGCTGTTCTCCCCACCTTCCAAACATGTGGTGGGATTGTGCCTTGTTGCCCATTTGAAGTTGGCCGGGACCATGTGAAGCCAGTGCTCTACTTCAGGGAACTGTATGGCGTCGGGGGTGGGGAACACCCTGCAGGGGCCCTCTAGAGAAGTCCCACTAAGACCAGCAATGGAGCATCATCAGCCCGAAAGGGCTAGCCTGAGAAGCAGCAGTAACCTACATAACAGGTCAGAAACTGTGGGCCGCCAAGACTCTTGTCCCTTTCCCTCCATCCTACAGCCCAGACCCAGCAGAGGGGCTGGAACTGCCAAAGGAGCAGGAAGGAAGAGTTCCTGGATTATCTTGGAGTGTTTGTTACCGAACCGTAACCTAGCACATCCTCACTGATACAGGGGAAGGGAGTCACGAGCCCTTGGGAGCACAGCACTTATTTTGAAGAGGACTCTCCATCTCCAGCAAAGCTAACTGCGAGGGGGCTATGAAGCAATCGCTCTGTGAGACTGAGCCCCACAGAGGTGAGGGCCTGGAACCAGCAAAGGAGCAGAACACACCTTCTGCACGTCAAGTCCTTCTGGCTATAAATTGGACTGATGCTGGAGGAAGAGAGACTTAGACAGGAGGCGAGTGATTCAGATACACACACACACACACACACATACATATACATATATAGTAGGATAGTAAGAGGTTCAAACTACTAGGTATAAAATAAATAAGTTGCATAGATGTAACATACAGCACAGGGAATATAGCCAATATTTTATAACTTTATATGGAATATTATCTATAAAAACATTGAACCACTATGTTGTACACCTGAATCTAATATAATATTGTAAGTCAACTATACTTCAATTAAAGAAAAAAGAACTTGAACATAAGTATCTGAGTCTACATCTGGGGACTTTTCCATACCCTGGTTCTGCTATTTTGTTATTCTGTTAACTCAAGAAAAACTTACTTAGGTGTTGAAAAAAGTGGCTAATGGATTGTCAAGTTACAGGCTGAATCCTTTGTGTATTTCATACACTGTTTCTGATCCTTGATTTTTCATTTTGAAAGCACTGCAGAACCCCTCTAAAGCTGCATGTTGGATTTATAGAAACCTAGTAAACGGTTTTTGCTTTAATAGCAGCTTGGAGAATCAGAGCAGCAAATAGAATCCCAATTCTGTTTAAAGCCCCATCTGATGCTTTCTCTGGTTTTAACAATCTATTTAGCTAAAGATAAGGGCTAAGGGCAGTTTCTTTTGTCAAATGAACAACAGATCTGCTTCTTTCAGATAATTAAGAAAAATCCCCAGAGTTAGATTACACCAAATGAGGGGAAAAAAAACTACTGATTTTAAACATTAGCTATTAGGTGTTAGAAAATTATTCTGAATTCTTCAATTCAGCAGGGCTCTGGATTGCTCACCTATGAAAGAGCAACACAGTGAAAACTGCATGACCTATTTTTTTTTGAACTTGTTATTTACAAATAATTTTAGTAATACAAAGATTGCAAAATAGTAGAATCCCCGTGTAACGTTCACTCACTTTCCCCTAATGTTAACGTCTTACATAGTACAATATAGTAAATTGATTGTAACCAGGAAACTGACACTGATATAAAACTGTTAACTAATCTATGGATCTTATTAGATTTTTCCAGTTGTCCCATAATGCCTTTTTTTCTGGTCCAGGATCCAATCCAGGGTTCCATATTGCATTTAGTTTCATTTCCTTAGTCTCTTCGATCTATGTTAGGTCCTCAGTCTTTTTTTGTCTTTCATAACCTCTACCTTTTTGAGGTTTACAAAACAGTATTTTGTACAATGTCCTTCAATTTGGGTTTGTCTGATGTTTTCTCATTATTAGATTGAGGTTATATATTTTCAGTAAGAACAGGACAAAAGTGATGTGTTCTTCTCAATGCAGCACATTAGGAGGTACCTGACATCAGTATGTCCTATTACTGGTGATACTAACTTTGGTCAGTGGGCTGAGGTGATATTAGCCAGGCTGCTCCACTGTCAAGTTACTATTTTTCTCTTTGTAATGAATGAGTTTCATGTACGGGAACTACTTTGAGATGATGTAAATATCCTGTTTCTCATCATGCATTTGTCCTCTAATTTCAACATCCATCGATGATTCTTGCCTGCAAAACTTATTACCTGGTGTTTGCCTAATGGTGATAGTCTATTTCCATTATCCTTCTATATTAATTAATTCGTATTCTCCTCCTCTTCAGCTATTTATTAATTATGTGTTTCTATTAGTATGGACTGATGGATCTTTGCTTTATTCTGAGTTACAATTTCCTACTACCATCATTTTGTTACTCTAATTGTCCCAGGTTTGGTCACTGGAAGCTCCTTTTGGTTTGAATCTGTGTCCTTTTCCACATGCCCTGACTATTTCTGAAGACTTCCTTACTTGCTAACACTACAGGGTTCTCCAGGCTTATCTTATATTTTCCCTGTTCCAGTCTTGCAGCCAGCATTTCTCCAAGGAGCCCCGGTTAGTTTTATTAGGGAATGGTACCTATGAACTGCTATCTGGGCAGAAAATAACTGCTCAAAATGTAATCATTATCTAGTAGTTTATAGATCTTTTTATTGTTATGAACATATTTTATAGATTTATAAAAACTTCATCTGCCATTTGTATAGCCAGGAAGAAATGAAAATGGATTTTGGTGGAAAAATGCAGGTCTCTGCCTCAAGAAAATACTAGAAGCAATCAAATGTTCATCCATAGAGAAACAGTTAATTAATCCAGTACCCCATTCGATGGAATATTAGACCACAATTAAAGAGTGAGTTACATCTCCCATGCTTTTTTTTTCACTCACAAGACTGAGTTTAGTACTGCAAAATGAGTATCTGCCCATGTATCTCCCCAAGTGAGATGAAAACTTTCCTCTCCTTTTCCCCTCAGTTTGTCATTCATCTTTGACTTTATTTACCCAACGCGTTTGCGGAGGATGAATTTAAAATTCTATGGAGTCAAAATTGATCAATGCTGCTGCTGCTCTTAACGGCCGACATTTACTGAAGATGTACCATTTGCTTATTCTATGTGATTCCTGAGGCTGCTGTCTCAGTCAACTAATGATATGTACTTAACATTGACCTCCCTTCTAGCTCAAGACATAATACAAGGACTCTAACAACATCTACCTGACTCCTAAAGTGATCAAAGGCGACTTTTCTCACTATATTTAGGCAGAAATTCCAGATCTTGAAAAACTCGTTTCATTTAGAAATGAAAG